TAGCAACCATTTGCTGGAAAAGCTGCCGATGGCTTCCTCTTCCGAGGGTTGGTTACAAGCAAGCTTTTGGCGAATTAGACCCCGGTATATGCCAGTACCAATTTACCATAAAAACGAGCTGTAGAGGGATTGCTTTTCCCACCGGAAGGGTCGAAAAAAAGGTAACCTTCAACCTACTGCAAGGTATCTGCGCCGTGCCTGACGGCAAGTACAAAGTAGGTAAATGTAAAACGTGAAAAAATAACACGAATATTAAATTTTATACACTGACTTCGAACTATAAAACCTCCAAGTGGATCTATCTGTTGCAGCGCCTCTTCATCTAGAATGGCTTCTGTACTAACAAAACTTCCCGCTGAATCAATGTCTTCTAAAAGCACCTCAGCGATACGATTCCACGCAGGTATCATCGGTACCATGACTGTAAATAGCCTTAGCTGACAAATAAGACTTAGAGATTCACACCAAACGCTGTTGCAAACTTGAAATTGAAGTAGCATAGTGTGGGTTTCTTGAAATCAAATGGATCGTTCAAAGAGTTGCTTGGAATCAAAAGACATCTGAAGGGAGAATTTTAGGATTTTTGTTACAGATTGATCAGCCAGCGCTAAATCTGTTTGCTCGTGATTTCTACATTCTGCTAGAAACCCAGGAAGAGCGACTGGCCTACATGACACTAATTAGGGACGTTTTATTATTACTCGATGCTCGGGTCGATGTATCGACGCGCGACGCTGATGAAATTTTACGATTCGAAACCGATCTTGCCAATGTTTGTCAATTTACATAATTTAGAAAATCTGCTTGCTGTTTTTATGAAAACAAACAGATATCGAAAACTCCGAAAGGAAAGATCATCGAGAACTCCGAAATCTCTCCTATGTTAGTGATGTACTAGAACGCCCTCATGCTCCGGGAACATCTTTGCTGGACTCTTTGTTTCTAGATTCACACGCCCAACAGATACCTATTGCGTGTCCGGCATAAATGGGTTTAAACTCTGTTGTAGTATTTCTAGATACCAAGAGTAACATGACTAAGATGTCGCACTTTTTTAAAAACAGTTGGCTCAAATCTGCTTCCATGGGACGAGAAGTTCAGTTGGTAATCTCTCTCTTCAGGATACAAAACCAGAATGAGGATCTGTAACTGACTGACCAGCAAGCGAGACAAAATTGGTCAGAGCAACTGGATAAAATACCAACCTATTTAGCTGAAGGAACATGCAATAAATTGCAGCTGATCAAAGTTTTAGATAATGAAATTTAGATAACTATGGCTGATGATCAACGGCACGACATAGCTGAATTATACAGCAAATTGACCATCCGTCAGATGAGAAGTCAGTTTCCTAATTTCGACTGGCTACTATTTTTCAATGCGCTTTTTCAGTAAGTTACTTTTTTTGGCTTTTGCATAATTTGTTCACAATTCTTTTTCGCAAAATTACGAATTGTCTTTGAATAATCACATTTCGAGCCAAGTCCCGTGACTTCGAATTAAATTTTTCCCTCAAACCGCCATCAGCTCGTTTTTAAACTGTCTTCGAAAGATTAGAGGCAGCTTAGCCAGCGGGTGGTTGTTTTGAATAATTACAACTAACCGAGTTACTTATGAGTGGTTCTGCTTCTCACAAACAGCAAAAAAATACTAAAACTCAGCTCAGCTGCGCAATATGCACTCGTTTTTATGCGTTTTTGGTCTCTGGTTTAAGCTGCGGAAATCTGATACCAGGTTTTTATGTCTGAGAGAGGTTTTAGGTATCTTTTCAAGGCTGCTAACTTCTCCTCAGCATCAAATTTCAAGCTGACCACAAAAAACTCATACAGTCCCTTCTCCAATAAATCTTGACCTTGTTTTCATTTCCTACCTCCAGGCAAGGTTTTGATATAACTAATTTAATATTTTAAATTTAGTATTTTAAATTTCTCATATTTGTTTTTTAACGTTTTTGAGGGATTGTTAGGAGAAGGGACTGTATGAGTTGTGTTTTCACCTCTTTAAGTGATTGTTTTAAAAAATGCTCTTAAATTTGCAGGGATATCAAATCGAAAAATGGAAAACCCATTGTTGTGAACGATACGACTGAGGTTGTCGTATATGGTTTAGAATTTATAGGTAAACTAGATGATTTATTACCCAAATATGAAACGAGGTTAGCTAATGTTCCGTATTAAAATCAGTGATTTCACGTTACAATTCAGATTTAGCAGAAAATTTATTTTAGCTTACAACTATGCAATTCCTTTTTCAACAGCATTTTCGTTTTTTTCCAGTGAAAAAATGAGGTTTTTTTCTGCGTTCGTTCACTGATTTCCAATTTTTAATCTTCAACCGTGCATTTTTTTAAGCAAAAATATTGCTATACGGGCCACGAGCAGAATTTTCTGGAAGTGCTTTTTTACTGCAGAGTCACAGCTACTTCTGTGTTCATTCTCTGTGAGAGGTAGAGACATTCGGAATTTTTTCGAGGGTAGTATGTGTCAAAAACAGCCACCTTCTGGCAAGACCCTCGGTGGCTTCCTTTTTCGAGAATTGCTTAAAAGCAAGCTGATGGCGGGTTAGGCTCCCTAACTCACACATTCTTGTTTCCCCAAGAATTCTCGGCATTTATGATGGCCACCAAACGGCCATACAGCACACTGTCTTTTAGCATTCATCGTAAAGGGTCTTGAACGACAATCCGTGATTCCAGCTCTTTTCAGACTATTTTTGACAAAAAATATGATAACTCTGTCTTGAAAAAAATTAGTAACCGCGCTGTCGCCGCAGTTCGAATTCAAATTAATGAAAGGCTTAAAAAGTAATGCACGCAATTTTTTACCGAAAATCGGATTAATTATAATTTTGTTGCTTAAAATTATTTGCAGACTTTTAATTTTAATTGCAAAACTTTGTTTGATTATGAGGTACAGTTAGAGGTGGTTACCATCTTTCTAATTTCGCGTGTTTAGGATAATCATCAATTATCTTTCATGGTGCTGGTTTTTCAAAGCAATGCTACGCGATTTGCCCGATCCGTTTGCATTAACGATGTTCAAATTTTACAGAAGCCTTAATTGTAAGTTTTTACTTGTAAAGAATCATGTAGCCACTCAAACTTAGTAATTTTACCACCTTCTGCCACAGTG